TTTTCTTCCACAGTGGGGCCCTGGATCCACATGTGATTTGCTGAGAGGGGGGGGGGGGGGGTCGCAATAGTTAGTTGAAAATATCACTAACAAGCCAAAGTTTATTTTTTTTTTTTAAGTACGCATAAAGCATGAGTTGATTAACCTTTAGGCTCGGTATTATGGAATATCGCAACCCTTCGGCTTTTGATTCCATGATAATACCGTAAATCTGGGAGAAATGTGACTTTTCTGCCTACCCCCGGGAGTGAACCCGGACCACAAGGAGTTCGTCACCCGGTCACCGCGCAGTCCGGTTTAGCCAACTACGCTAGCGAGCAGCAAAAGCTCATCGATGTGATGATGACCTTCATCCCTACCAAGACATCACACCGAGCGACAAACACCCGGTGACACAAAGTACATTTATTCGGATGAGAATCACCCGGGGACAGGCCCCAGAAACCCCATTCAACCTATATGCTGGGTTTATATTAGGGCCTCTAGGCACCAGCCAGGGTAGGCTTTGATAGCATCATCGCGAATACTTTTAAGTGAAGTCGAAGAAAACCAACTCCAGCGGTTTTGGGTTGCTAGTGATTTTACTATGCAGTTTTTTGCTTGCTCAGTAATTTGCCACTGGCACTAGATGTCGGCTCTCAGTACAAAGCAGTCACTTGCCAAACTGCGTACAGCCGGAATCGAACAGGGTATTTCGGAATTACGAACAGTGTTCGCAAGGCCAAATCTCCAGACGATGAAGCTGAAATTGAGAGAACGCAGGACGATTAGCCGCCGGTCGAGAGCGTCGCTCAAAGCACGAACTCCGTAGCTCCGGCGACGATTCTCGGGATCTCCGTAAAAACTGCACTCGTGAACTAAAGGGCGTAGCCGTGGAACGAACCCACGACCTTCAGAGCACGAAGCAAACAGCTTGACCACTTCGCCACGGAGAACCCTTACCAGATAATGAGTCTATTTTGACGAAGCAGGGGAAAGAACAACGCTTGTCACGAAATACATTTCCTAAGACCAACAGTTATGCCCCTTAAACAAATTTACTAAAGTAATTAGTCAACCGTAGTTTCGACTTCATTGCAAACGGGTCACCCCATAGTTGCTCGGTTACTATGCCAAAGAAAACCAAACAGAATATCCATCACTGCCCATTCTTTAAAAATTGTATACTGACGTCTTAGCAAAGCCAAAAGCCTGCATTCATTCATTCAGTAGCATGTCCCTCGCGGAACCTTGCTGCCATAACAACCCTCCGGAAAAACCTTTCATTTAGCTTATATATATATTCAATTTCGTTCTTTTCAGGAGGAAATTTTTTGTCATTTGAAGCCCTACTCTGGCGTCTGCCAGGGACCGCAATATAGGCAGGCCATACATATGGCCAAATGTCTGAACGCGGTTTCTGGGACCTCTCCACGGTGATCTTCATCCACATGGTGGCACTTTGTGTCATCGGGTGTTTATCGCTTGTGTGATGTCCTAGTGGGGTAGAAAGTCAGTCAGTCAGCCTTCCTATCCTGAGCAAGATGTCCTGCGTCTGATACACCCATCTGGAGATCATCTGCCACATCCTGCACCCATCTTCTCCTTGGCCTTCCTCTTCCTCTCTTCCCAGGCATATACCCCTCCATTATTGTTCTCTCTAGACTTCCATGACGTTTCAAGTGACCAAACTATTTCAATTTTCTTTGTTTTATTGTCTTTACTAGCCAACCCTCTTCAATATTCAGCTTTTGAAGTATGGATGCATTTGTTCTTTTCTTTACCCAAGATATTCTTAGAACCTGTCTGTAACATTTATATTCAAATGCATTTATGCGCTGTTCCGCTTGTTTAGTAAGTGTCTTGGTCTCACAGGCGTATGTTGCAATGGGAAAGATGCATGCTCTTAAAAATCAAAAGCCTACTTACTTACTTACTTAGTCGCTCCTCTTCTACCTTGGGGTGTAGAGGTTTGCCAGAGAGATCGCCAGACGTCTCTATCAGCAGTTTTCTTTCTGGCTTTGTTCCATTCCAGTCCTCTGTCAGTCAGGGACTGTCGGATGTTGTCTTCCCAGCGCACCCTGGGTCGTCCCGGAGGTCTGGTTCCCTGGTTCTTAGCCTCCCATGCTTGCCATGGTGGCCGATTTTCTCCATTCTGCACACATGTCCAAACCATCGTAACTGTGACTGATCCCTCGGGTTGGTAAGGGACTGGGTATCAGATCTTGACGTATTGTCTGATTGCGGACTTTGTCCCTTCTTGTCACTTGGACCACCTTTCTCAGGTATCTCATTTCCGAGGCCTGCAGCTGACTTCTGTGAGCTGTTGTCATTGCCCATGACTCACACCCATAGGTCAGGACTGGTACATAGGTAGAGCGGTAAACAGCCATTTTCGTCTCTTGCCAATTTTCTCTTTTGCTAAGGAAACCCTCGGTTTTATGGCCTGGAAGAGTCTCCCAGCAGCTGCTTTTCGTGTAGCCAGCTCAGTCTTAATGCTCCATTTTGGTCTAAGGGAATACAACTCCAAGGTATTTGAACTGGTTAACCTGCTCCAACGCATACTGACCCATCATGATCTGGTGTTTCTTCTCCTCTCTTGAGATCACCATGGTTTTAGTTTTGGAGACACTGATGGTCATCCCTTTCTTTTCAAGCTCTTCCTTCCAGACAAGTAAGTTGGACTGAAGGTGTGCCTCTGATTTAGCTATCAGGGCCACATCGTCTG